CATAGGAATATTGTATTAGAAAGCAGAGCACTCCCAATAGAGAGCTTTTCTGTGGGACCCTAAGCAGAAAAGCCACCTTCCCCATACTCTGCTTTTTGTTGCCTTAGCACAGGACTGAGATGAAAAACGATAGCATGTGGTGCTACTTCACAGACATTTCCTCACATATCAGTAGGCCCAGAAGAACTGTTAAATATTTAAGAACAGCCTTGGGACCTATTGCAGTCAACATCATTTATCTCAGAGTCAAGCATCATAGGCCACGGAGCTTGATTTATCTCACGGCAGCCCAACAGATGGGGCCAGTTCATCGCTGGTGTAATTTGAGAGAAATCCGTGGAGTTGCATCAAGATGAATTTCTCCCAGATCCTGGCAGCAGCATGTCACTTCTTAAAGTCATAAATGTACCACAAACAAAAAAAAGATTAAGTAAATCTATTTTTCACATGGCCACATTAATCCAATGATATTTAACAGACAGAAACTAGATGGCACGTGGAAAACATGAATCTATCCTAATTACCTTACTGGTTGCCAAATTATCAGATTTTTTTTCTGATCAAATATACTTTCATTGACACATCCCTGTTCTAAATTGAGAATCTTTCTAGAGAAGACTATGATATAGGAGGAACTACCAGTAACTCATATAGTTAGTTAGCATACGCTTTCCATTATGAATTTTTGACACCTTTTCTTGGAGAAGCTCTTACACTTGCATTGTTTAGAGCAGACCTTTAACTTTCTCCAGAAGAAATATCCTCACGCTACAGATATGTCTGTATGTCATCCCGGGTTATTCTGTTTAGTGTTTACTAAATATTGTAAGTTCAGACTTATGTCTGTTCCAAATTACTACCACCAGCAGACTCTGTACCGTAAATACTATTTTGGGGGTGGGAGATGAGGGAACCTTCTGAATTTGTTTTCTAAGCAAGCAAGACAGATTTGGCAACACTGAAACAATTTGCAAATTCACATAATTTTTCCTGACTTGTTTCAGCCGGTCTGATCCCCCTGCCTCTACCAAAAAAAACCCCCAACCAACCAACCAAACAAAAAATCCTAAAGAAATCAAATCCTTTAGCTATTTTGAATGAAAACAACATTTTGTTTTTAAACTTCCCATCATTTAATTCATTTTATGTTGATAAAATGTATGAAATGGAAATGATTAAAAAAATGACACTCTCCCCCCAATTCACTGAACACTTTAAAAAACTTCTTATTGGGGACAACCCAAAACCATTCCTCCCCACAATTTTTTTTCAGAATTCAGTGATTTACACAGCAGTATTATGCAACTGCCAGAGCAGCTGCAGAGAGATGGGCTGGGAGGAGTGCTGGTATCCCTCTGAGGATCTAGCACACAGACCTATTGGTCGGTGCTCCAACCCGATCTGAGGATACCTGAGCTGAGGATACCATCTGGGTCTGGAGCACCCCTAAGTAGGGGGAAAGAAAGAAAGCTAGCCTAGGCTTTATACCAACCACATCCTACACACAGCATGGGGCCCTAGCAGTCTATCACTCTCTCTGGGGCACTATACAGAGCAGGAGCTCTCCCTACTCCTCGCAGTGGAGAGTAAGAAGCTGGGCTGGACTCTCATCACCTTCAGCTGTCCCCTGCATCAAGTGCCAATGGGTTAGCCTCCATTGGGAAATAATAGTCTGCTCCCGCTGGCACCCAGCTAATGTAGCCAGTCTTGTCTTTCAGGTGGTAGCGGTCTGTTCTGTGGTGCTGAAGGCTCAGGACTCCACCCCTGAGAAAGGCGCATGCTGAGGTGTTACAGATGTACATAACCAAATTTGGTTTTAACATTTTCCTTAAAAAAAAAAAAACCTAGAAAATCTCATTTTAAAAATTACACTCAAAGGACATTAGTAAGGCTGCAAGCAAGCACTCAGAAGTTAGGAAATGCCAGAATGCTTGGGGAACCTTAACTCAGCCCTTTTTTGCATCTTTAATTACATGAACGTACACTATTTATTCCACACTCCTGCCTCACTGAGTGTATAGGATGGACTTGGAAGGGGAAAGAACTAAGGTTGCATGAGGCGGGGGACTGACATCTTCCATGGGCCCCTGGGCAAGGTTGGGGGCAGCTCCATGCCCCCAGAAGACATGTGTCTTGGGTGGAAGGTGTTGGGGGCAGCCGGCCTCAGTGCCACCTGGACCATGGCACCCCCTTCCCGCAACCCTCAGAGCTGTACAATGCATGCAACACAATGCCCTGGCAGTGATTTAAAGGGCTTGGTCTCTGGCAGCCTCTATTGCCACAGTAGCAGTGGCCAGGAGCCCTGGGCCCCTTTGAATCGCCAAGCCCTTGGGCAACTGTCACCTTTGCCCATCCCCTCTGGTGGGGTGGTGCCTGGGCAACCACAAATCTGGCATCCCCTAAAATGGCAACTCAAATAAAGTTCATCTGACATACTTTGTGGAACTTATAACTGAATACGCTGTTTGATAACACCAGCAGTAGTGTACCTACAGAGTCTTAAAGTTCTAGAGCCAGATGCCAAACATAACACATTTACTCAATTTTAAGCAGGGATTGGCTTATGAATGGATCGCTGCATTCAACAGGAGCGGTGGGAAGTGGCGGCCAGCACATCCCTTGGCCCATGCTGCTTCCCGCTGCTCTCATTGGCTAGGAATGGTGAACAACAGCCAATAGGAGCTGAGAGGCTCCGTGCCTGCAGAGGACTCCAGGTAAACAAAACATCCTGACATACCAGAGGTTTACACTGTTGAGCTGGAACCAGAAGTTTGCAAACCACCGATATGGAGATGGCTTATGAACGGGTAATCGTGATTTTTACCATTTATTTTAACTTGGGGGCGACTTATGAATGAACAGGTTTATAATTGAATATATATGGGTAATTATACATTTATTTCAATTTGTCATCTGACCCCAAAAGGTACTCTTTATCCAAAAGCTCCCTCGCTCCCTCCTGCGTAAGCCAGGTCTTAATCGGCCCAGTTTAAACAGTAAAAAAAAAAAAGAAAAAAAAAAGGCTGTCTGTTGCCATGGCAACAATTCATCATAGAAAGCTGGCTTTTGAATGAGTCTAATGTCCAGACGTACATCAAAGACCCAATTAATCATAAATGGCTAACTATGTTTTCCCTTTGGAGTCTTTACAAAGAACAAGCCTCTCAAATTAGGAAATCATTTTAAGCTATAAAATCTGGTTTCAGTCTAGGTGATTGTAAGCCATGTTAGAATTATGACAGGGCCCAGCACTAGAAATTCAATAAGAAGCTTCAGTACTCTCGTGACAGGAGGATGGACTAAATGCAATCAGGCCTCTCTCCCTAGTTCCGAAAGATGAATCCTAATAAGCTCACCTATTAAAAGAGGGATTACTAAAAGCTGATCTGAGCTCCAAAAACTTTTGGGATGCCCCAGTTGGGTGAGATCGTTTTAGTGACCACCTGCCTTTCCAGTCACAACTGCACAGAGCCCCACACCTCCCACTCAGGGGCAAATGCAGCGCAACTGCTAAGGAGAAGATCCGGGACGACATGTCCAGACAGCTCTCACTGGATCACCAAGTGAGTACTTTTGAGGTCTCAGACCATAGCTTGGGCACTCTGGTGTATATATACCCATATAAGGTGAGGAATTTTCATCAACATATTTTTAGCAAATTTTCAGAGAAAATGTATACACACCTGAGGTCCTGGTAATGGTCCATCGCTTCTTTCCATCCTTGAGAGGAGATTCCCTGACCCACCTACTTAGGGAATAAGTACCCCAGATGAAACTGGGGGTGCCTCTTTCCAACCTTTCTAGGAGCTGGGTAGCCTAGGTTCGCTCGACATCTGCCCTCAGCCTGCCACCCACAACTTTGGTGCTTTTGCTCCTAATCCTTTCCACAATCACCAACTTTTCAATGTAGGTCAGCCTCTGAAAAAAGAAATCCTTGGAATGACACACAATAAAGAAAGAGAAAAACTGAACAAGTTGCTACTTACTGGTTAATACAGTGATAGATCTCACTGGCTTGGAAACCACATTGGAATTTACCACCAACAAAGTCACTATGTAATAAAGGCCATGGTAGGTGGCATTAAAAACCACAGGGGAAGGTAAAGTGCTGTTGAATTCTTCAAACTGGAAAAAGTAGTTCTTGGATTCACCAGTTATCTTCACAACATACACAGAGGATGAGCTCACTACATCAGACTCCTCCAACGACACTACAATGCAGTTGTCATCTCGGACAGTAACTTGGAAAGGAGCTGTATTCTACAAGACAACAAAAGAAGAAGAGAAGCTGAAGGAAAATTTAGGGTATCAGCAGCAATTGCACCTTTATCTGTTTAAGTATTTACACCACATTCCTTTCCATGGCATCTTTATGCCTGCTTCCACTGGGGAGATACATTAAAATTTCATTCCACAACAGAGTTAGTTTGCTAAAATCTTGCCATCTCTTTAACTGTGGGCTTTGGATCAGGTCCTAATGGTGCATGACTATTGGACAAATCCATTTGCCAATGCAGGATTTTTCCTTATAGTGTATTTTCCAAGGCAATGACTAGTCCACTTTCAATGTCCCAAAAACATGAAACTCCACCATTTCCTTAAGAAAACTATATCGATAGGCAACCTAAATTTTCCTTTTCACCACACAAGTTCAGTGGTGGTGGTGGTGGTAGATGGGGGGTTGTTTTGTTTTTGGAGTGGGGGCAGGGATGAAGGGAGGATAACAACTCAAGAAAGGATTTTAAAAAAAAGCTGAAAATACCAGAGTGTTGGGGATTTTTAAAATAAAGGACAGTAGAGTCAATAGGAATGTTTTTATTGTGCAAAAGTGGGGCATAGGCCTGATCCTGAGAAATGACAAAAATCTGTAGCTGAGGGAAGATTTCTATGATATACAAAACAGACCAAGCATTGTCACAAAGACCTGTCTAAGCTTAGTACCTCTCAGGATCAGGCCTTATCTTTGCATCTCCAAAACTTTCATTAGTATTTTGGACATGAAGCAAAAGGAACTCTTGCCAGTCACTGCTTTTTCATTTCCTAAGTTACGTCATTTCATTTAAAATGTTTCAAAATGGAGGGATTTAACCTTATTTCCATATATCATGAGCATGTAAAGTAACTGCCAGCTGAAAAACCTTTTAATAGCAAGCCAGCTGTCAGCAAAAAAGCACTTGTTCTCTCCTGGAACTCTGAAACATAACTGCTGTAATTAATGAGAAGGAAATATTAATCCCGACAGCAGTTTCTTTTCTTTTCCTTCCTCCTCCCTTCCCCACCACTCCTTTTACAGATATAGTATTATCAACTCTAGGCATAAAAAAAAAAATAATCATGAGTCAAGGCACCAGAAATCATAAACTAGGCTTAAGGTTTTCAAAAATAATGAACATTCATATTATTAATTATTATTATTATTAATTTGCCTTCTGGGTTGGATCGCATTTTCAAGCTTTTCTCCACAATCAGTAGAAACTTATTTTTCTAAAGATTAAAACTAAGTTTACTGAAAAATGAAATTAATCCGGGAGCTGGAGTATGAAGAAAATTCCCAAACATTGCAAAACTGGTCATAAATTTGTGTATAGTGAAGAACTGATGTTGAAACCATCAACATAGGGGCTACGTCTACACTGCAGGCTTCTTGCACAAGAACTTTTTGTGGAACTTTTTGGGGAAGAGATCTTCTGCAAAAAGTTCCTGCGCAAGAGTGCGTCCACACTGCGATTTGCTTTTGCACAAGAGATATGCTTTTCTGCAAGAAAGCATCCACACTGTCATGAATGCTATTGCACAAGAAAGCTCTGATGGCCATTCACGGAATGGCCATCAGAGCATCTGTGCTTTTTCCGATAGGGGTTTCTTACGCAAGAAACCCCTGTTGTCCATCCACACACGCCTCTTTGCTCAAGAGCTCTTGCACAAAAAGGCTTATTCCTCATAGAAAGAGGAATAACGCTTGCACAAAAAGCCTGTCTTCTGATGATCTACTGTAATTTTTCTTGTGCAAAAACGTGCTTGTAAGTGTGGATGCTCTGCGAGTTTTTGCACAAAACCAGCTGTTTTTGCACAAAAACTCTGCAGTGTAGACGTATCCTAAGTATCCTAAAAAGTGGATGATCTACAAAATGGCAAACTGAGTTTCAGGCCTGGAGTATAGATGCAGGGCTGGAGTCTGCAGAGAGGTTGACACAATAGCTCAGAGCCGTGAGCTACCCTCTACAACGGGATGTTAACTTCTAGACCATATGTTTGAGGGAAGTTCTCCTCTACCACTTCTCAAAGAGCAAATTAGGTGAAAAATAGCAATCCCCACAACCCCAGTGATACATCAAGCCTACTGGGATAAATACTGTGGGAGTGCCCCAGCTCTTGAAAAGGTCTGTGTTGCTCCTGCTGCTATCAAAATAAGTGGTGCTTTTACTGCTGCTGCAGGAGGAAGGAAAAGCTCACGTTGCTGCCCCTATTGAAAGGAAGGGACCTATGAGCTACTCCTCTCAAACTAAGGGGAGGGGAGTCACGATGCAGAATTAGTGCTGTGAGGGAGAAGCCACAAATGAGCCCCTATGTTGAGGTGTGCCTACATCCATAGATTGCTTTAATCCAGGGGTGTCCAAACTTTTTTCAAAGAGGGCCAGATTTGATGAAGTGAACATGCGTGAGGGCCGACCATTTTGCCTGACATTCTTTGAACCATTAAAATTAAATGCAAATTAACTATTTTATGCAAAGTTTATTGCAAACGGCATACTTTTCATTTCGTCACATGGATGACAAATCTAAACAGGTGTTAAATCACTCTGCCTTTCATATCTGAAGGCCAGATGAAAAAAAAAATCCAGGAAGCTGAAATATATGTCAGGAACATTGTAAAGTACATTACATATTATTGGTAATAAAGGTTGTCTGTCAACTTTTAAGTTCAAAAAATATGAACAGGAACATAACACCAAGTATACATGTTGTGTCCAAATATATTTATAACTGATTTAGACCAACTGACTTTAACTGAGATTTTACAATGTATTCATCTCAATACATATGGATTCGTTGGGGGCCATAAAAGATAGATATTGCCAAATTACCCGTGGCGGTAAAAGTTCACAAGAGAGAGCTGTTGGTGACGACTGCGTAACTCGCTGTCACAATGCAGCTCAATGAGCTCGAGCTGCAGCTGATCTGGAGCATCCTCGGGGTCAACAGAGAATGGAGAGGAGAAAAGGCTGATCTCCTTTTCAATAGCTGCAAAGTCCTGAAAGCGCCGTTTAAACTCCCCAGCCAGAGATGCAATGTCTGCTGCATACCTGCTCGTTTGCGCACTGATATTGTCCTGTGGAAAACTGTTCATTATTTCCTGCAACGCTGAAAAATGTATGGTATTGGGCTGTGTTTGTGACAACTGCCTTATGAAAAGTTGCAGCTTTGTCCCAAAGGCTTTGAGGTGTGAATAAAGCTGGTTCACCGCTGCATCTTTCCCCTGAAGACTCGTGTTCAGTACATTCAGATGCTTTGTTATGTCAACTAGAAACCCCAAATCAGCCAGCCAAATAGGATCAGATAGTTCTCGCATTGGTTGTCCCTTTGTTTCCAAGAATTCTCCGATTTCCTTTCTGAGAGAGTAGAAACGCTGCAGTGCAGACCCCCGACTGAGCCATCTTACATCGTTGTGATATAAAACATCTTCGTATTCAGCCTGGATGTCCAGTAGAAACTGTTTAAACTGGCGGTGGCACAGGGCTTTAGAGCGAATAAAATTAATAGTCTTTAGCACCGGTTTCATAACATGATCATATTTGAGATGTTTAGC